CCCTCCTGGAATGTACCTGGCTGGCTAAATGCCCCCCAGCCCCACCACCACCACCTGTATCTAGAAGAAGCCCAGCCCAGTTCCCGATGCTGCCTCTCTCAGCTCCCTCACAATCTAAAAGGAAGAGCTTATAGCTGTCATGTCTTCAGGAAGTATATGAAGAAATAAGGTGTTTATTGAGGGTCCTTTGGGATATTCAGTGTGGGGAAGCCTCAATCAGCTCTGTGAATCTTCCCCTATCATGCCGTATTACTGGCTCTACTGGACCCAAACAATCACCCAAACAATCACTCCCCAGGTGGAGTGAAGGTGTAAACTTGTGCGCTCTTACTTGAAATCATCTAGAAAATGTGCAGGAAAGATACATAGCAGTGGATTTTTATATCAATCTGTAGAAAAGTTTCTCTCTGCAGGTATTATAGGAGAGCATTTGAAACTTTCACATTTAAGGGCTGTAGCAAAGAACCTGTATTGTGCAGCTGATCACAGAGCCCATCAGGAGGTAGTTAAGTTTGGTGTTCACTGGGCGATTCTTTGACTCGAAAATGTTAAGAGGTTTGAACTAGCACCCACTTCCTCAATATGCTACCTTTTGATATGTTGGGATGCAAATCCCTTTGTCATTTATGGGAGCTACAAGACTGCCCTCAAAACTGCCATGACTTGCTGCTCTTTTCTGTCTTGGGAGTAACTAGTACAGCCTCCTCCAACCTGGAACCTTCCAGATGTGTTGTACTCCAGCTGCCATCATCCACAGTGAGCAGGGTGATACAACACATTGTGAAGGGGGGGGGGTTCTAGGTTGAGGGAAGTGGCCCTAGAACGCATGACCTGATGTTACCATATTGCACATTTCCTCCTCCCACCAGTTGCTAGCAGCAGCCAGGACAGACTGAAGTCATGCCACCTCTTCTGTAATGCTAGATTACAGATCTAGAAGGCTGTACTTCTAAAAAAGGAGGAGACACACACCTGCAGATTTCAGCGGCAGCCATGTGGCTCCCCGCATGCCTCCAAGAGATCATGGAGGCATGTTGTTGTTTCTTTCACTGATAAGTAGAAATGGACTGGATAAATAGAATTACCTTGTTGTTTTCACAGTTTCTTTGCTTCTAAGGTCTGCATAGTGGATAGAAATTCATCAAGAAATGTTATTTATTTCAGTATAAATTCAGATTTCAGTACTGGGGAAAAGGTTCAAAATGCTGACTTGCAAACTGCACCTCTAAGTAATGAGATAGGTAAAAATACACTTCAATAATCTGAAAGAGTGTCTCCTTCCATATATTCCTGCCCATGCCATAAGATCTTGGTTGGAGGTTCTCCTTCGGGAGCCCTCTTTGAAGGAGATCATGAGTGGCTACCCAGAGGAGGGCCTTTTCTGCAGTGGTGCCCTGGGGAGCATAATCTTTGGAATATGCTCCCCAGAGAGGTGTGTCTGGCACCAACTCTTTATTCATTTCAGCACTAGGCCAAAACCTTTTCATTTTCCCAATATTTTAAGAGTTGATGTAGTTTTTTTAATTTACTTGTTATTTGATGCTATGCTGTATTGCTGTATCACTGTCCTGAAACATTGGGTAGAAATGCTTTTAATAAATAATAGTCTAATTTTGTCAGAAAGAAAGCAGTTCTGCAAAAGACTGTAGACTTCACTAGAAAAAGAAACCAACTCAGCATTGGTTCCAGGACTTTATTTTCCTTTTTTTTTATAATTTATATTCCACAGTTGCTCCAAAGAACTCACAAAGCATATATGAGTCTCCCCCTTCCACACCCTTTCATCCTTCCAACCACCCTGCGAGCTAGATTGGGATGAGAGGTAGTGATGGGCTCAAGGCTGCTCAGCAACCTTCATGGATGTGTGGGAATTAGACTTCTGGGCCTCTGAGTGGAAGTCCGGCACCAGTCCTTGTTTCATACAATCTCTTTGCATGCTGGGGATCTTTTAGGCAAGTCAGTGAGTCATCTTAACCTGGAACAAAAACTGCCTTGGCTGCTGTTAGTTTGGTGATCTGCACAAAAGAAGAATGTTGGTGCAACTAGAGAGGCGAGCTTTTGCCTGTCTAGGGGGAAATGCTTTATCCCTCTTTGGTGCTGGCTCTGCTTAGAAACTATAAGATGTCCTTTCTCAGATTTAGAGAAGAGAGTTTTTGTCTGGCACATGGATGTTACTGACCTGGAACAAGGCCGCAGTGGATCTGAACACCCAGCCACATTCATTATTCGGGTAGCATTGGAAAAGCTCAGCCATAGACTCTGTTTTTACTTAAAGACTAAAATGGTTTTCAGGGCTGCCATTAAGGCAGCAAATATGGAATTCCCTGTGATTCACACTAACCACCAACTAACCATTTAATGCAGTGTGCTGAAATGCACCCCTTCCTTTAAAGTGGCCTGTGTTGCTGAAGGAGATGCATTTGGCTTCATGAGCACCTCGAGAATAAATAACTGTAAGATAAACAGCCTGTCCTCTTTCCCATGCTTCCATGTCCAGTGCAGTTTTAGAGCTCTGTTAAAAGGTTTCGTTTGTTTTTAATACACAAAAAGGTGTCCTTTAAGAGTGAAACTGACTGAAACAGAAGCCAATTGCAGGCTGGTGTGTTCCGTTTCACTTATTCCATGAAAGGTATGGGTCTGGGTTAAATGGCTGGAGTTTGGATTGAGCAGGCTTTCTTCTTCCCCTTCCTTCATTAATGTTTGCCGTTTTGAAGCTAGAGGAGGGTGAGAGTCATAATAGTAGAAAGGAGGAGTTGTTTCTTTTACTCAGAGAGAGAGAAGGGAGGGAGAGAGCGAGGGAGGACAATCTACACTGTTTTTCCACCTTTACACATGCAATTATGTACTTTCTGAAAAGTATGTTTCACACAATGGAATCACCCTTGTTCAACTGCTGTACGCAGCAAGCAACATCTGTCCCTGAATGCTTTGCTTTATAAGGAAGGTGGTTGTCATATGAGATATTCTTTTTGAAAGAATCAAGAAATCTCTGTTTTCATTTTCAAGGCCAACAGGGTAACCCTAAACCAAGACTTTTAAAAGAATCTCTGTGCATCCGTCATGCTGAAGCCATTTCCATCTTTTCCGGCTTTGCTTTCCCTCCCTTCCTCCTTCCCTCTCACACGCATATACTGACTCAATTTGCAGTGCACATATGGTACTAATTATGAACAAAGGCTGATTGTTTTAATATTTGGAATTTCCCACATCAAGCTGATGCATTTTCCTTTAGTGCCTTTTAATGTGTGTGCAGTTATGCCAGCCAGATCTTTTTTTTTTAAGCTTTTCTTTGTTTTCTTTGTGTATTTTTATATTACTTCTTTTTTCCCTGTTGGGTTTTGCTGAAAAGAAATCTTCCCTATTTTACATTAAACTAGATATTTGGATTGGCCAAGAGCAGCCAACTTATGCATTCTGAGCAGCCACTGTATTTTCTAAAGAGAAGTCTGAGGGCCAGAAGTTCTTTCATTAGCCAGGCTCTGTAGCAGGCCCACAGAACTGTGACGCACCAGTCTGAATGCCGCTAACTAGCACCACAGCTATCCACAGCTTTTGTCATCCTAGGCAGGCAGCAAAACCGAAGTACATATCAGTTTTGCAATCCCAGGCAGGCGGGCAAAACTGAAGTATATTTAGTTAGCTGGTGTGGATCTGAAGTCATGCAGGCACTGTAACGTACATGGCACTGACCAGCAGGGAAGGGTCACAGTTACGGAGTACATGTGGTACAGTAGCCTGATCATGTGCATACAGTATCTGTCAGGAATTTACAAGGAATCAATGTGGAGCATTTTCTCTTTTGCCCCTGCCAACTTACAATGTTTCCTTATGGCTTATCTCGGTCAAAATGTATTTGGACCAACTGTGATGAGAAGCTGCTCTTCAATGCATATTTCTTAAAGACGATGAGGATGCTGCTTCGCTATATTTTTCAATATGAGTTATGGCCTATAAATCTGTTTAATAATATTAATGCAATAGGCATCCTTGACCCAGATGCCTAAATCCATAGCCCACTTGGAATAATATGCAACTTTTTTGGCACATCTGGATCAAGAAAACAGGAAACATGTTGAATTACGCAGTTTGCCAGAAAAAACTAAAGCAATTTCCTTGTAATTTACATTTTGGCTGTGTCTGTTTCTGATAACCAATGGATGAGAAAAAGATCTTCATGCTTACATGCCAGTCTTCCAATTGGTGATACCTGTTGGGCGCTCCTCCCTGCTCCCCCACAGCTGGCCAAGCATAATAAAAATGCAATCTGGTTTCTTATTCCTTCATCCCTCTGGTTACTCTGAGCCCACCAGGTACTTCCTCCACTGATCACCTGTGTATTTTGCAACTCTGCAGGTGCTATCTGTGTTTTGAGTATTTCAAAGAATTTAGTGCAAGTTAGCAAGCTTTTCTGCTGCCTTTGTTTTCAAGTATCCACTCTACTTTCCTTTTGTTGTTGTTGTTGACTCTCATGACATGCCCTGCATAAATACTCCCCTTCTGATTTGGACACAGATTTTCAGTTTCTGGAGATTTCAAGAAAGTCTTTTCTTTACAGAGGTAGATGGGCTTGAGTAGGCACCTACCTGTGTGTAGCAATATGTTCCTGCAGGGAAGTAAGATGCCTGCCCTCTGTGATGGGAGGTCTTCGCTGATCACTTTCTCACCCCTGACAGATAACTCAGATCTTTGGGCTCCCCCATTGCACCCAGCATCTTGCCCATCAGAAAGAAGCATGCATAACTGGCCTTCAGTACAAGGCAGCCATGGTGTGGTAAACCATTTCAGTAGCAATGGCCAAATCAAATTTCATTTCAGGCCTGATAATGTCTGCAATGGCCATCCCTGGGATGGGGTGATATCCCCATTGCTGATTATCTCTGTTTGTCTTTTCTGGTTGTTCAAGGCAGTTGAAAGAAATCAGGGGTGTTGTTCATAGTTGTGTGCTTGTTTAACATAATCTAATAATAACATTTCTACACACACTCTTCAGAGTGTAGTGAAATTCAAAATAAACAGAGAATAAGCTTACCATTCCTAAACTGCATCTGTTTGCATTGAAATGGTCCCTGTCATTGTGCTGTCTCTCTAATTCAGCCCTCTTTTACCTTCATGTTCCTCATCATGGCTGGCTGAAGCATGCTTGGATTTGTAGTCCAACCTGGAGTGCATCAGTGTTATCTGCTATACAATAGATGTGTAATTTTGTGGTTTTCCATAGCATTTTCGTGATAAACTTATAGCAAGTAAGACTAGTAAGTATTGTAGTAAATCCTGATATCTCAAAGTTAGGAGGCAGCATGCATTTTTAAAAACAGTTATTTATATGTCCTTGGATATCCAAGAGTTGAGTAAGAAATACAAAATGGATTGTACAGAAAAAGAGGAAGAAATCCAACCTGCTTCAAGGTAGAATAAACTTTTTTAGTTCAACATAAGAGAATACAAGCAGTAGCTTAAATGGAACCCTTAGTTTCTTGTTCTTTTCTATTGTAATGAAAGCAAAGCTCCAACCCTCTTTCTCACTAAAAATTCTTATGTCTGTTCAAAGGCTCTTCCCTTACCTGGAGACCCTGAGACATGCCTGAATACACAAGGAGTATCTGGCAAGAAAGAAAGGTTTGCACCTTTTAAAGCTACTTCCATGTGCTAAGCAAGGTGCTAAGTATTGTTCTGTGCGTGTGTGCGTGTGTGTGTTGGATCTTGCAAGCCCGAGGATCAGTTGCTTGCTTCTTTATAGCAATCATCCTGAAACCCAACATAAAAATCAGGCAGTTTATGTGTGTTTCTGTTTGCTTTTGTTTTGTCTCTGCTTGGCTTGAGGATCTCAACCTTCAGTTGCCCTGAGCAAGGATAGTACACTGTCTGTACGTTCTTAAAACTAACTTAAGATCGACTAGAAATTGCTAGGGTTTTGTGCCATTTCTTTTCTCACTGTTCCTGAATTCCTGAATTAGAAGATAATTTTAGAAGTTGATGGAATGTCTTCATCGATGCTCTGACTAGCTCTCCTCCTTGTGCTGCTTGTCTAAAAGTAACCAGTTAATTAAAGGACACTACCTTAAATTTCCTTTTAACCCCACAAAAGTTGGATCTGAATTCCCATGTGTAAGATGGGAATTTCAGATGAAAGTGAAAGATGTGTTGGTGGGGGTGGGTGGGTATTGATCTTGTAAGAATTTGATTTTGTTTTATCTTGCAAGTTAGATAGGAGCTCTTATCCTTTTGCACATCAACCAACCTTTTCTGTAATTCAATTACTTGTGCTTTCCACTGAGTGGGCATCACCTTCTTGTTACACCAGGAGCCTTTGCAGTAGAGATGTAGGGTTGGTTTGGGCAGATATGCTCCCCATCTCCACTATCATGCAATACATACTAAGATGTATGTAGATTCTCAGTGTTCTTGTAGCCTTTTTCCTGTGCTGTGAGCAGACCGAAGATTCTTCTTGTTTCTGGCCTGATAGCACTGTCAGCTTTTATGCTTTCTCAGGTCTGAAAGGAAGTAACATCTGAATACGGGATTTAACACTAATCTCCAGACCAGATGGTGATTCTCCAGATACTGTTTTTGGGGGCTGGGGGGGGGGGACATGTGATCTACTGTAGAGCAAACCAGAGAGGTTCTGCAGTCACATGATGACATGTATAAAGAAGTCTGATACAGCTTTGATTAGACAACTGACCTGGTTACCATCTGTAGTTCAGAGAAACGAAGCTGACATTTTTGGAACACTCTTCCCAGAAGCTGAGTGTTTCCACTACTATGGCACAGCAATCTTTCTATGCTGGAAGAAACATAAACCAGACCTAAAGATATGCTGCTTGAAGCATGCTGTGAAGGGGCTGTTTCTTCTTCTTCTTTTGCTTCAAAAAGCCACATCTTGACTCATGCTCTAAAGTTTAAAAAAAAACCCACACACAGAGCTATTTGATATTTGCAAAGTGGGGACTCCTTTAAGTCATTCCAGAAGAAATCTCTCTGGGCTGATCATTCTCTCTCTCTCTCTCTCCCTCCCTCTCTCTTTCTCTCTCTCTCCCTCACACACACACGCACACACACGTGCATCTGCACACATAGACACACTCAGAGTTAGTTTTGTTTTGCACTATGGTGGTGCAGGCAGCTGTGACTCCAAGCCGGAGCCGAAAACTTCTCTTCAAAATACCATATGGATCCCTGAGAAGACAGAGTGCAGGAAGGGTAAGGAGAAATTTACTTGTACTCATTAACAAATGGTTTTGGACCAGGGAGATGTTTCCCCTTTTGTAACCATGAGGCTTTTATAACCAAAGACTCTCCAGTGATGTATCAAAAAGGCTGGAACTGGTGATGCAAGACAGATAGTCATGCGCTGGAGTAACTGATACCAAGTTGGGGGCATACAACTTCCCTGGGCCATTCTGGCCTCTGCGGCAAATTGAGGGCCATGATTTACTCGTCCGGCTGTATGCTAATAACTATTAATGAAGATTAGCTAAAATTGTAATCAGTATTAGTGCCGGTTGGCTATAATTTATTATGGTAACTGGCACTAATGGAATTTCCCTTACAGTGCCAAGTAATCAATATTAGCCAGGGATCTATGATGATGGAAAACAGTAGTCAATGCTAGAACTCTGAAGGAAGACAGTGAATTAATATTCATGAAGTAGGCTAAGCTGAAAGTACTGCTCTGGGATATAGGATAATGTATAGGATTGGTCCAATTTTTGAAGCAAGATGAGGCTGAATCTAGAAGGGTTCTGTGATGAAAAGCAGGATACCAAGTTCAGCTAAATGTTCGAGTTTTCAGTCTTCATAGGTGCTCTACTGGTTACCTTGTTTCACTGTCCTCAGGATGTTCTACTGTAGAACATCACATTCTGGCAGCTTGTGGGGACAGCTAGAATACTGAGCAACATAGAGTTCTGTTTCATCTTAATGTTTAACAGCCTGTGTGCTGTGTGTATTTTGCTGCAACAAAATACATCATGTAGGGATGGGCAGAAGATAGATTTTTAGATGTGTGGACTTGAATGCCCAGAAACCTCTAGCAGCATGGCCGGTGGTCAGGCTCGGTGGGCTTTAAAGATCAAAACATTTGGAAAACTACTTTCTGGTCACCCCTGGCTTAAATCTTTATGGTGCCATAAGCCCTTTAGTTGCTTTTGGCTACTGTTTCATTTGGCAGTCTTAAACTGCTACCATTCTGGGTTTCAAAATGTTTGGATACTGGAAGTGATACCTGCACAGGATTACACCAAGTGAGGGTTTTATGGGAGAGTCGAGGATATGTATCTAATTTGGTGACTTGGGTGATTGGTAGAAGAAGTCTTAGCACATTTGGAGCATGCCATTCTGGTGTGGAAAGCAAAGGGGATGAGACGTTAGGCACTCTCCTCAAAAAGTGAAGGCAATATAAACCCTGCACACTTGGATATGATTATTCAGGTCAGTGAGAGAGGATTGGCTTCTTGATGTTACCTGATGCTATAGCATTTGGAAAACAGGAAAGTTAAGGAAGCGTTATGTTGAATTACCTTGCTGTAACATCCAAAGATGTTGAAACTCCTTTGTATACACTTGTGGCCGACTTTAAGCACTTGCTTGGCATGGTTGTATGGCGATGCTGCGAGACGGGTGCTTGACACCAGCTGCAGCAGTGGAGACTAGGCCAGTTTAACAGTGAAGATACCCTCATGGTGCTCCTGAGCAAGGACACCCTGGACCTTAGCACTGGTAAAACAGGTGATGTTGCCCCTGGAATCTTGAGGACCACTCCATAAGCCAGCCTTCTCCAACTTCATGTCCTTCAAATGTGCTAGACTAAAACATCCAGATTCCCCCTAACAGCATGGAGGGCACCAGGCTAGATGAAGCTGCCACATCCACATCATGCTGGGGCCTACACCACTGCCTAACCCACTTGGCTCCTGGTGCCACTCAACGGTAATATTTCCTGTACTGGAGTAAGTCCCACTTCAACCAGGTTGCTGTTCAGCTGCAGGTCAGCCTTTCCATGCAAAATACACACGTCCACATATTCCTACAGGAGTCGCTATTTCCATACCTGGAAATTTGTGTTGTCACTTAGTGGAAATAGGGAATAATTCACCTATGACAGGACCATAGGTAAGGTCAGCTGGCACACCCCTTCTGTGCCAACCTGTTCTCATTTCATTGTGCGCCCTCTCCCAACCCACATGCAGTTAGGTCAGGGAAGGCGCATGCAGTTCATGTCTGTGGGTTCCCCTCACCAGGCATAGTCCAGCCATAGCAAGAAGAACACTGTCAAGTATGTAACGACGAGGACCAATAATGCCCACAGAGAGCAACAGTTCGGTATACAGAGTCTGTCATTCTATCAGTGGAGTATTGGCATTGCAGCTGTTTTATAACGAGGTATTTCATCAAACTAAAAATAACTGAAGTGGATACCATTCCTCATAAGGTCAGTTTGGTCATTTCCCAAGTTTTGCCCTGGTGGAAGGATGTGAAATTTGCTTGAAGAAGACACCTGTACTGAGTTATGTTCAAAGGTGTAGTCTTTGGTTGCTTTATTTTATGAGTATATCGTGTTATGTATGCCTCTAATGTGTTTGACAATTTTATTTTTTAGGATTTTGATCCATGTTGACACCTTTATTAACATAACAGTTAAGTCTGTATACTGAAACATTGCTCGCTTTGATATTTGTCCCTGTTGTCTACACATATTTCCAGGGATTGGGACACATGACATTATTAAGAGCCTATGAGGGGCACTGAAATTAGGAAAACTTTATGGTCTGTGGGCTCATTTAGCAATTTGAGAAACTTTCCTGGGCACTACCATAAAATGGCTGCCAAGGGGGCTTGGCTAGTTAGAAAGGGCAAGTATCTTAGGAAGCTCCTTACTCCTGCCTGTTGCTTGAGAGCATCAGCTGAAGTCCTCTACTACGTTCCCCTCACCAAGGAAGATAAGGGGAGGCTGCAATGAGGACGGTCTTTTCTGTGGTGGCACCCCATGTAGAGAAAGATTTTTCTTATTGAGATTCGCCAGGTACCTACTTTGCTGAGTTTTAGGTGCCTGGCAAAAACCCTCTGTTTTTGGTGCATCTATAGCAATACTTAGACCATTATAATTCCACTGTTTTTAAAATATATATTTATTTTTATTTAATTATGTATAGTGTGAGTTTATCTTGTACTATTTTATTATATTTTAAATTGTATTGCTTTCATCTAATGTTATTTTATTGGCATTTATTTTTATAATGACCACCCAGATGCTAGGAGATGGCTCTTCAATTCAATAAATAAATAAATAACCTACCCAAAAGACTGAATACAACCAGAAATTGGGTATGAAGTTCAACCCACTAAACAATTTCTTGGATCCCATGGTTTTCCAAAGCAAAAAGAAACAGTTGTCAGTAAGAAAATTGCGGGGTGGGGTATGTAGGAAGGGGTGTACTGGTGCTTATGGGCACCATTTTTCCTGCCCCTTAGACAAGAGCATTCTTCAGATGTGTTAGACTACAGATCCCATTTTCCCAGCCCTGCACAGCCAATGCTAGGGATGGTTAATGTTGTAATCCAACATACAGGTTGGGGAAAGCTGGTGTAGAATGTTAGATTTAGATCACTGGGATCCA